TTTAGGGGTTTAGGGTTGAGGGGTAATTGTGGGGTCCCAAACAGTGGGAGTCTGCGAGCAGGTTCCGCTGTTCGGCCCAGACTCACACACAAGCTGGTTGAGCGCTCTTTCGCCAGCCCTTGGTTCGCGAGACACGACAAGCAGTCGATGGGAGGACTACCACACAACTAAGCTCGAAACACTCGCATTCGTGTCCACGGGAACGGAAGTAGCGCAAAGTCTAGAGTCTAGTGCTTGGTTAAGGAAGGAAGCAATGAAATCACGACGCTTCCCAATCCCCCCGTGGAGGTATTGCTCCGTTCGTCGTTTACACTTACAAGCGATCTAGAATCTAGTTGTTGTTTTCACGATTTGGGAGGGTTGGCAAACTGCGACGGTGCAATTGCGGTCTTAAGCCTTCAAAACTTCGACACAGCATTGGAACAGTTGACTCAAACATAAACAGATCAGCAAAGACTTCTACGCTGCTACAAATATCTTGAGCGAAACATCTGGAGCAAAACTCGCATGGTATCTCTCCAAAGAAAGAGAGTGACATAGATCGTGTGCAGCCAGGATCCATGAACAACACCCAAGGATATGGACCCCGAACTGTCTCAGCATCGCAAATTCCCGTTCCAAAGGGTCAGGAGAAATTGCGGTAGGATCGCGGGCTCACTAAGCAGTTCATCTTACTAAGGAATAAACTGAATAAACTTCAAAAAGCTGTGTAGGGCCCCGAATTGAAGGTTGTTGGGACCCGTAGGTTTCAGCCATGATCGCAGAGAAGCTGCGCACTCCGAGCGATGTGGCACAGGTGATGAAGGTCTCTGTCGGAGGCATACAGGTCTGGTCCGCATCGCACCATAGCCATGACGGCTTCAGTGGGGAGGTACACGATTGTGCGGCTCTTGATAGATCGGGCTCTGGGCTTTCAGGGCGTAGGTTGAGGGTGCAGATCGGCGTGCTGGATTTCGGCTTCAGGGCAACCACCATGCTCAAACATGTGCCTGGTTCTGATATGCCGGTACGAAGTTTTCGGGTTTGGGTTCAGAGGTTTGGCCGAACCTACCGCAAGAACTCCGGCATTGATCCGTCGATGGCTTCGCGAGCACTGGATGAAAGGTGGTGTGGACATTGGGATTTGGCGCGTATGGCTGTCCAGGGGCATAGGCATCGTCTCGAACAACGGGTCATAACTGTCGCTCGACATTACGCTTTCTGGCGTCCACAACCGTGAAAGACGACAAGTTCTGCAACCAATATACATACATATACCCATTACGTACGTATGTATGTATGTATG